TTAACATTTAAATATGTATTTTCCCCAAGACGCGCCGTCGCAATGAAACGAACGTCCCTCTTAGGCAAAATCGATGTTTCGGACGCATCGGCGCAGTCCGTTTCGTCATCTGGAATCGTCCGGACAACCTCATCGCCGATCGGGTCAAAAACACGTCGCGGTCCGAATCCTATCAAAATTCTGATATGAGTTCAATCAAACAGGACGGTGTAGAGGACGGCGGCGCCAAATCAACGAGTACAGTCAATTCTAAGGCCGACAATTCTATAAGAATACTCTCTGAGTTCCTTCAGAGTAGTCTTACCTGCTAAGCAATAACGGTCAAAACTATTATATGGAACGTCAAGTCGAGCGAAGAAAAGTTCAGAATTGCTAACGGGGAGGGCTCCTTCACTAATTTTCTATGAGTAGTCGACAGAAAGTTCCTACGGCTAGATCCTAGGCTGCTAAGAAGGTGAAAACTGCACCTTGACCGAAAACGAGGTAACATATATACATATATATGTATACATATATATCTATATATATGTATACATATATATGTATATATATATGTATACATATATATGTATATACATATATATATATATATATACATATATTAAGCATGGAGGCCCAGGGCACCTTTGCTTTATTTGTGATGATGGTTGGGAGGTTTGTTATTGAAGATATGTCACTTCGGAGGTACAGTAATAGGTCTGGTTTTACGGTTAAGATTGAAGAATGAAGGCTAGAATTTATGCTCTATATTCATCATGCTTTTGTTAACGGGCAAGATCTCTCTTATTTAGAGGCCCATGGCTCCAAATTATTTCAGCATTTCCATATTTTAGGCGGGCATTATAGGTCCGGTTTGATTGACATTGCTGGTTGGGAGGTTAGGAATGTGAACCATTATTTCTATTCTAATCACTTGGTTTAATTCTTTCTTTACTGTTTTCTCAGCCTTTTTGAGTTGCAGGTTTTGGAATCTTTGGGTCCTGCTGCGGCTTCCTGGTCTCGAGATGTCGTTTGTTGGCTTACAAATTTAATTACCTTCACTTCTTTTGATATATGTGTTCATAGAGGGTATACGTCACTTCTTTGGGTATACGTTTTGGTTTGATACATATATATTTTGGTTACATTTCCCTTTATTTCAACTTTTTTTCTTTCTTGTATTGAGGAAAAAGAAACCCTTAAGACTTTATGTATTTTCTTTAATTTTAGCGGGGATTCAGTTTTCCCACTGATTTCTTGTAACCGCCATTTTGACATTAACGCGTAAGGAGTCATGAGTTGCTCTTTCTATAATATATATAGTTAACGAGCCG